GTAATCTCATTTTAAAAGTTAATGATCTGTAATCTTAAATCAGGTGGTCGGAGACTTTTGACCGGGGAGTGTACATGTTACATTTTGATTCATCGTGGTCCAATCATCATACCGGTTGGTCTACATAAGATGCACATTATGTTTCTCAAGAAATTTAACTGGTACATGTATATAATAACTGGTTGACGTAAGCGGATTGTACATGTATATGAATAAAATACGTATGGATAAAAAAGGAGCTTTCGAGATTATTTTATGCTGTATTTCTTTCAGAACAGATCACATATCAAAGATGTTATCCTATCGCAGATTCTGCGTAAAATCATCAGTTTATTTTTATGTTTTTCTCAAAGATCCAGATGAGAAGAAATACATATAAATTCCTGAAAGACTATGGTGAATTCCCGCTTTATTTGTATCTCGAATTCCTTTTCATACTTGTAATTTTTTTTGACAAGTCAAAGCTCTGCTGAAAAGCATTTTACGAAATGTATTATATAAATTAAATATTTTATTTCTGAATTTGCCATTCCAACTTTCTTATTATTAATATTCATGGAATTTAATTCTGAAAATTTATCAAACTCTACAATTTTTGCATAGTTTACAAATAATCTGAGTTATAAAATTGTTATACAAGTGATTACACATTGATTAATTAATCATTAACAAAAGTTATCTTTTAAAAGTCTTTAAATTGTAACTATTTTGTAAATATAATCAAAATGTTATATTAAAGTACCATATTAATTATTTATTATGTGCTAACATTTATTGCCTCTTATTTATTGATAATTTTTATACTATATAATATAATTTATTAAGACCTGAGATTTTGCCAGTCTTTTCCCCTTGCAATATGAGATAATATATGTGACTCTCCTTACGAACTTTAATGTTTTTGCGAATTATTTTATGACTTAACTTGTGTACATTATTAATCATTTATACAATATCGATCAATATGACTATTATCGCGATTATTAATTTGACAGTAAATTCTACTTTCTCAAATTAAATTTTATATTTTTCTAATTTTGATGCGTTTAAATTCCCAGTCAAGTAACATTTTTATCTCGATAACATGCATGTAACCAGATATTCTGCATGAACTATAAATATATTAACATTAAGTTTAATCGTTGCATAAATGAGTAGCAGGTTGGCAATTTCGCTGTCCAATGAAAAAAGCCCTATTTACGTACTAAGTCTATTGAAATTTTTATATGCTATTCAAAATCTTACCTGTACGCTAACATCTTTGGATGACTCGGATTTACGGAAGCCTTACATAATTTAATGTTTTTTATTTATTTGCATCGAATACTAGCAATTTTTAAGCTTACAATGGAAAATTTTTGATCGTACGACGAAAAATGAGTTCTAGCAATCGACCCTTTTTTCTCATTTATGCATGCTTACTAAACTTTAGAATCTCAATTATTTTTAACAATGTAACCCAGTATGTGAGGCAATCATAAATATTTTCCTTTTTTATTAATTTTAAGTTAGATCCAATATACAAGAATAATTTATATTTTTGTTGACTTCTTTGATTACTACGATAAACGCAATTTTTATCAGTCATTGCTGAATAAGATTTTTTGATGCTGCTTGCCAAGTAAACCTTTTGGCTGGCTAAAATACGTAAGCACCAAGCAGCCATTTTGTGAATACAGTCATGTTCCCATATAATCACCCTCGGGTACAACAAAAAGTGCGACTATAAAGAGGCTGTGATTATATGGAGGTCAATTTTCCTATGCTTCATAATAACTGGGATCAGTAAAACTTGTGATTGTATGAAGGAGGGGTGCGATTGTAGAGGGTGTGTGTACATATATAAAGGATTGGCTTCATTTTAGCGAAAAAATGCTTTGGTCACGGTCAAATGCCAGAACTGACAATAAATCTCTATTATAGAATTTTAAATTGTAATTTAATCCAATCATACTTGCATTTATTACATACGAAAAACAAACCATTTCCAAAACCAATAATTTGTGTTAATTATAATGTATTTTTGATTGGTACATGTATTTTATAATTTATCGTTACGTCATAATAATCACATGCAATTATGTGATGCATTAATGTGCATGAATTGCGTCATCTTTCCTATGATCGATGTTTTCCTATTTGACTTCCGTACATGTACATGTATTTAGATTCAGATATATGCATGACATTTTTTTGGAAGAAAAGCAAATTAAAAAAATCCCAAATTTAGTAAAAAAGACTTTACATTGACATGATTAATAAATCTCGCAACTTTCTAATTTATACATGTATCTTTTGGAATGTCATCCATAATTTTCCGATTCAAAGCCCAAAATATTCCCTTCCCAATTTGTCACAACGGACATTTTATTTCGTGCACACAATTTCATAAGCATGACTAAGAAGTACTGGTATTAAAATTCATGTATTTTTTCGACATGTCTTTTATTTGTTTATTTAATTTCTTACTTGTGTCTTTATGCCTTGACATATAGAAATTAAGTTGACCAATAACTAAAGTAACACAAACTTTTGAAATAGGTTTCCATCTGGGAATAAAGAGCTTTCATTGTTTTTCAACCCCCTAACACTAACTATTTCATCAAGTCTCACGATCGAAGTACTCTACGTTTCACCAGATCTTAAATTAAGAAAGCAATACATGATTTTTTTCTCCCGCCAATTTTTCCTAAGTTTTCCAATTAGAAGTGATTATTGAGAAAGTGCACAACCATAGGATTCTTTTCACTATCAAAGATCGAATTATCGAATTCTATACTGCATATAGTCATACAAGGTTTTCTCATAGTTTGTGTCAAGTATAAAAGATGTGGCCTTGACCATTGCTGAAACGACCGAGCAACGCCAAATTTTATCGATAGTTCTTTATACCGATACGTTCTTTGCTCTCGTAAATTTCTTTTCTTTTAGCTCAAAATGCTAAAAAATATACGCAAAGGGAGCTCACTAACTCACGATTTGAGCTTGATCGTTAATAGCCCTCGTTACAGTGATATCAGTATATTATGTCAGAATGATGTATTATACGGATGTCGAACTATTTTGGCAGCTCGCTCCAATATATTTGATCGAATATTATTCCCCGAAAATAGAGATTCATATCTTACGGAAATATCTTTTCCAGATATCAATTCATCCACTATGAAAGTGGTGCTCGACTTCATTTATACCGGAAGCATTCGTGAAGAGACTTTATTGAAATCATCGGAGGCAATCGAAATCTACCATGCAGCAGATTATTTCCTTTTACCCGACTTACAAGATAGTATTCTGAAATTTATCGAAGAATTTCTCAAGGAGAATGAATACGGGCTTGCAATAAAACTTTTAAACAAGGCCATCGAAAAAATGCCTCTCTCACAAGATAATAGGTTGCTTATTCTTTTAACAACCTATATTGCTGCAATACCGCTCGATTCTTTTCCTTTCGAATACTTTACGGTAGAAAATCTTCGAGCTCTATTGGCCATGACATTGAACAGTGATGCGTATTTTGCCACGCCTGAATACGAAGTTTTCCGATACATAATTCTCTGGGGAGCAAACCAAATCTCGGAAGAAGCGATAAGCATTTTCAAATCTCGCTTGCCCGCTTTAGAAATTGCGGAAACCGTATTTCCTCAAGAATTCTTTCCGAATCAACAAGCCGTAAAATATTATGAACTCCGATCAGTAGTACTCCGCATTACCTCACCAGTACTCACTTATATTAACTTCTCTTTAATTAAGCCAAATATCCTCGCGAATGTAATACATCCATTAGGGATGATATCACAACCAGTACTTTTTGAAGCATATCAATTCCACGTCGGACTGAATTCTATAACTAGAAGAGGCGGGATTTCGTGCAAAATTAACGATCTACGCTGGGATAATATGGCATGCGGACCGAACATTGAGATAATAGACTATGGAACTCGAGTACTTTGTACAAGTAGCACAACTGTTGAATCAGTTCGTGGTGTAAACCTACTTTGGGGCAATGGAATGTACGAATGGGACGTTATTGTCGAAGAAAAAAGCAGATGTGCTTGGCTAGGTGTCTGCGGTGAAGGTGTCGACTTTACTTCGTACTTAGGCTGCCAAGAAAATATGTATGTATTTAGCTCGGATGGACAAATATTGAATTCTGGAAAATCACAGAAATATGGTACAAAGTTTGGAAAAGGTTCTACGATCACTGTTCACCTTGACATGACCAGACGTACATGCGCATTCTCGATTGACGGGATTCGATATCCTGTTGCTTGGTCTAATTTGCCTGAAAAATTGTATCCCGCTGCGGCCATTTGGAAGTTTGGTAGGTTACGAATTAAACCGCACGTCTGATTTATTTTTATATGACATTTATCTCTTTTTCTCGCTTTTAATTTCGATTATTACGTATTTTTCGTTTTTTTCTTTAATTCGACATGTATGGCAACTGCGTATTGCGTTTTTCATCCATCTCAATATAAACAACAAGCATCGAATTAAGCAATTATGCAATAAACGATTTAATAAGTTTTGATAGGTTTAAATTAAGAGAAGGTTCTGTTTGTGTTTTTAAATTTAAAACTTACTGTTTGACAATATTGTATTCCAATATTTTTTTAAACTCAACATTTATTGTTTGTCAATATTCCAATACTCCTTTCCAAATTCGCGATTGTTTCTCAATATTCAAATATTCCCTTTCCAAATTCACGTTATACTTATGTGTAATTAGTATAACTATTCCGGCTACGAATAAAATTTACCGTTCGTTAATATTTCAATATTCCCTTTTCAAAATTCACATTTTTTAAATTTAAAATTTATTGTTTGTCAATATTTCAATATGCCCTTTTCAAAATTCACATTTATTGTTTAAACTTAAAATTTACTGTTTGTCAATATTCCAATACTCCTTTCCAAATTCGC